TATTTTTTTTTAAGGCAGTAGATTTCCACATGTAAAGCAATTGTGATGTAACCCCTACCTCACACCATATAAAAATTATCTGAAAATGGATCAACAAACAACATGTAAGAGCTAAAACCATATAAATCTTTGAAGAAAACATAGGGGAAAGTCTTCATGAACTTGGATTTGACAATTATGTCTTATGTTTGTTTTGAAAAGCAAGGACAACAAAAGAAAAATAGATAAGTTAGACTTCATCAAAATTAAAAACTTTTGTTCATCGAAGGACATTGTCAAGACACTGAATATTTAACCTACAGAATGGGAGAAAATATTTACAAATCATATATACAATCATGGTTTAATATCCAAAATATATAAAGAACTACAGCTGAACAACAAAGACAAACAACCTAATTGTAAAGCAGACAAAGGTATTTTTCTCCAAAGATACAGAAGCACATGAAGATGCTTAATGTGCTTAGTCATCAGGGGAATGCAAATCAAAATCACATTAAGACATCACTTCACACCCACCAGGTTATTATTAACCATAAAGAAAGGAAAATAACAAGTGTTGGTGAGGATGTGGTAAAATCTGCACCCTCATGCATCACCAGGTGGAACGTAAAATTGAGCGGCTGCTGTTGTTTTGTGGTTCCTCAAAATGTAAACATAAAAATACCATATGACACAATAATTCCACCCAAAAGAATTAAAAACAGGGACTCAGATACTTGCACATCAATGTTTACAGCAGCATTACAGACAATAGCCAAAAAAATGGAAACAACCAAGTGTCCATCAGAGATGAATGGATAAATAAAATGTGGTATATTTATATTTATACGATGAAGTGTTATTTGGCTATAAAGAGAAATGAAGTTCTGATGCACGCTATGACATGGATGAACCCTGAAAACACTAATAAGTCAGACATGAAAGGATAAATATTAGATGAGTCTATTTATATAAAATACCCAGAATACGCAAATGTGGAGAGACTAAAATTCATTAGGGGTTACCAAGGGTAGATGGGAGGGGGAAATAGTGAGTATTGCTTAACAGGTACAGGGATATGATGAAAAATTTGGGAATAGATTTTGGCAACAATTACTCAACATGGTGAATGCAGTTAATGTTACTGAACTATACATGTAAAAATGGTTGAGATGTTTTGTTACATATATTTCACCAGAATAAAATTTTAAAAAAGAAACAGAAAGAGCACACTCAGAAAAACAAAGCAAAGCAAAGCAAACACAAATCTGTGCAGGTTGTTTAGTGTTTTGTCGCAGAGATCAGAGTCTATACTGAAAGAAGTATTTCTTTGTAATTTTTGTTTTTTGTAATATATTTGTGGTTTGGTATCAGAGTCGACCTGCCCTCATAGAATGAGATATGAAGTGTTTTACTCTCTTCCATTTTTGAATAAGAATGTATAAGGATGGTATTCATTCTCTTCGACTCTAGGGTTTTATTTGTGAGGAGTTTTTTTAGTTACCAATTCAATCTCTCACTACAGTGTGTTCATATTTTCAGTTTCTTCTTGTGTCAGTTTCATATGCAACATTTATATCCTTCTACTGAATGAGGTGGGCTAGGAGCAAGACAGCAGAGCAGTGGCCCATACCTCTGTCATCCAGAAAGTCATGCATCCTTTAGTGAGGAGGCCTCGTGACTCTCCTAAAGGAGGCCTGCTATAGCCGGGAAATAAGAAGAAAAATCTGAAGACGTAAATTCAGGATAAGAACAAACCTCAACTGTACTCTTCACAGACTGTCCTGTGAGGGCTCAGAGTGAGACAAGAGTGGATAAAGTAAATGCTCATCGATTGTCACTTCAGGTGTGAACAGGAATGTTTCACACTTGGACTATTCTGAAGTCAGTTTATGTCATCACACACCTCCAGAACACAGATGTTGAGCTCTTCTTCAAAGGGCATAGAAGATGCTTAAATATGTCATGTATATTGTCCCTTTTCAAGTGCTTTTGAGAAATTGTTCTCACATTCTACAGGATTTGAAGGGTGAGATGCAGTAAACTTGTTTCCATGTCATCACAAACTATTAAAACTTGAGCCATGTTAAGACTATCTTAGATATCAAAATCACACTGTTAAACTAGATTGCTAATTCACAGTATCACTTTCCTCTTTTTTACCTATCCTTATTAGGTCATTTCTATTCTTATGGGAAAATTTCTAAAAATTATGACACTGTTATGAACAAAAATTTAGTTAAATTTAACACGAGTTACTAAATTTCAACTTAATTGTTGGTGGCACAAAAACAACTCTTTCAAAATTATCTTCTTCATTCATATGCTCTAGTTGTTTTTTTTTAATTCTTGCACTAATTTTTCAAAAATAAACTTTTAAATCTTCAGGTATCCCTGGTAAATAAGTATCATTTAAAAGGATAATACTTCAAACAATATTGAACCTTATCACCGTGCCAAAGACTGAAAAAATTAAATAAAATTCTAATTATATTATTAATGTGTTCATCCTTGAATTGTAAGTGACTTCTTGTATTTTAATCAGCATAATATGTTGAAAATGACAAACACTCAAGTCTAACTATGTAGGACAAGGAAAGTACGCTAGACCCATCGAATGGGCAAATATCTCACTAAGGCTACAGAAGGATGTAAACTAGACAATTAACCAGCAAACACACACATACACACATTATACACATGTACAGAATATAAGTATTTTTGAAATTCACTTACATTTCCCAAAAGTCATACGCTCATATTTCTAAGAATATAAATATAAAATATATAAAACTGTACTGTAGCCACTAGCTAAGTTAACAGATGAATTCTTGAAATGTGGCTAATTGTATTTAAATATAAATTAATTAAGAGTAAGTAAAATTTTTAAATTTTTTCACTCTAGCCACATTTTAAATTAGAATGGTCAACATTTCCAATATTATAAATTCTCTAACAAGAGTGTAATTTATATAGACTCTCATAAAAAAAACGACAACAACAACCAAACCCGTTGCCTTTGAGTACACTCCAATTCACGGCAACCCTATAGGACAGGGTAGAACTGTCCCATAGTTTCCAAGTAGGAACTGGTGGATTCAAGCTGCTGAACTTGGTTAACAGATGTAGCTTTTAACCACTAAGCCACCAAGGTTTCCATATCTGAAACAAGGCTGTCGAGAGTAGGTGTTCTTAAGTGTCTCAGGCAGATAAATGTCTGAATCAATGAAATCCTTATATGAATTTTAGTTTTTAATATTGCTAAATAATGTATAATCAAAAGAATGATCACAAGTGCTTATAATTTGGAGATAAACTCAACTAAAATTACAACATAAACAGCATGTTTTGTGAAAAATTGATTGTGTTAAATGCATGTATAAGAACAAGGAAATGTGAAAATCAATTGTTTGAGTATTCATCACAAGAAGAAATTGGGACCTTCTCAGATCTTTCCTCGGCATACACACAGCCCTTTACAATGGTACAGCCTTTTAGATACCCAGGTACATTTATGAGCTTTTCAAAGCTCTCTCTGAACATCTTGTTCCTACATCTTCCTGTTAATCTCTGATCAGGCTCTTTTGGCCCCAGCAGGTATTGCAGCCGCAGGTAGCTGTAATGTTAAACAATTGCTGTTGATTGTTTGCAGTAAACAATTTTCCCACAGAGCTAGCTCCAACCATGTCAAATAATCACAGTGTGCTATGAATGGGGTTTTCCAGGGACCTGTGAGAAAGGTCAAATAATGACAATTTTGTTGTTATGAGACTCTTAAGAGCTCCAGACTTGGTCTTCCTCTTCAGTAGTGGCATAGCTCCTAGTTTTCATGGCTACCATGGAGCTGGGGAGAGGATGTTTGGTGTAGGCCAAGTTAAAATGCCACAGACCCTATCTTTCTTACTGAGGTTCAGCATTTTTTCTTGAATAAATACTCCCTATATTGTCTCAGGAAACCTTGGAGGTGTAGTGGTTAAGAGCTACGGCTGCTAACCAAAAGTTCAACAGTTCAAATCCACCAGGCGATCCTTGGAAACCCTATGGGGCAGTTCTACTCTGTCCGATAAGGTTGCTCTGAGTCACAATAGAATCAACGGCAATGGGTTAGGTTTGTTTTTGGTTTATATTGTCTGAAGCCTTTGTTTAATTCCCAGAGTCTTCATAAAGTTGATCTGAAAATTTCTTGCCAGTGTTTTCTTCCCTTTATAGAGGATATTTACAGAGGACTTCACTCCACCATTGAAGAAGTCTCAATCCCAGGTAGAGTTTTCATGGTGGAAACTGTTAAACTGATATTAAAAATTATATTGAAATGTAAATGACCAATAATATACAAAAGAATAAAAAAATTGGGCACTCACACAACCAGATATTCAGAATTCTTATAAAACTACAGTAATTTAGATATTTTTATTTTGTTACAAAATTATACAGATACATAAACACATTATCAATATAAACACTCACAGAACACAAGAAAGTTACTATACTCACAGTTAATTTTATTACAGGAAAGGGTACTGATGAAAATCAGCCAAGGGAAGAAAGACATAGGGTAAAGTCCAGGAGGGTCCAAAGGTGGAGCTTCCAGTTGAACAAATAATATAATTCATTATAGGACTTTTGCAATCATGATATTATTTTCATTTCATGAAATATAAAGATACCTGAAGGACTCCAAGCTAAGGTGTTTTAACTCGAAATCTCTTGCTTACAAATGTATGTTTTTTCCTTTCCACAACTGGCTGATTGAAGGTGAGATGAGAATAGCATAGCACAGTTGTATGTAGGATTTGATGGCTCTGTTATCCTGTAATGGATAAAAATGCATAAATGCATCATGTTTTGTGTGGTAATCCATAGAACAATGGCATTTTCCATGCAACAGTAATAGAAGAATGTTATAAAAATGGGTAATGACATTTCTCATAAAATATTAGTAATAATTATTATGAACACTGAGTACTTCATTCTTAGCTAATATTTAAATCAACATTTCATGTCATTAATTTGCAATTTCTGCATGTTTACAATTCATTTCAGTCACATTTATTAATATTACTTATCCAAGTTTTTCTTTTTTGTATTTTTTCTTCTATATGACATCATTCAGAAAAACTTACTTTTGGTTGGAAGGTAAACCATTTATCCATAACCAGGAATAATCACTGCTTTTACGAAAGAGTCCAATCCATGAAGAAAACGGTAGAATCTTCATTAACTTCTATTATAAAACAAAAAATTATGTTTTAATAAGCATTATAAAGACTTTTATTACTTTAAAATATGCAGGTAGTATTTTCTATTACTTTACGTTTAATTTTCAAAACGATCTAACTGCTAGATTCTAACCATTAAAATGTATTAAAGCTGAAAATCACGTTTTATAGTGTCAAAAACTTTCACAAGTGTGTTTGATTTTCATCCAAAAATAACTATTTAAATATTAATACTTAAGAGTCTTATTCTCCTAGTTTTACTTAGAAAGAGTTTAGATTCCGGTAACTTAATAGTTGTCAGGGTTCCGTAGACTAGCGTAACAACAACAACAAAAACCACACCCACTGCCATCCATTCAGTTCCAACTCATAGCGATCCTACAGAACAGAGAAGAACTGTCCCATAGGGGTTCCAAGGCTGTAATCTTTACAGAAGCAGACTGCCACATCCTTCTCCCATGAAAAACTAGCATAGTAAGGGTTTAAATAAGTCTCCAGATACTATTACATTCTTCCATACAAAAAAAAAAAAAAAAGTGTATTTTTCTACTGTGTTTCTCAGAGTTTGGTTTTGTAAAGGAAATTAAATGGCTGCCTCTGAGGAGACACATGACAGAGAAGTCAAACATTTGGTGTTCAGGGCCCCACATCTTTCTTTAACTAGACCAGTCCTGCTTCCACCACTTTTTGTATTGGTATACAATAGAATATTCTTATCCTCATGAGTTCTCTGAATCATATTTAATGATTTAAACAAAGATTATGGTACCATCTACAAATCAATAACATTTAAAAGTGGAGAAAGCCTCATCGCTCTCGAGTCAATTCCGACTCATAGTGACCTCATAGGACAGAGTAGAACTGCCCCATAGGGTTTCAAAGGCTGAAAATCTTACAGAAGCAGACTGCCACATCTATCTCCCTGTGGAGTGGCTGGTGGGTTTGAATTGGTGCCCTTTTCATTAGCAGCTCAGCACTTAACCACTAAGCAACACAGGATTTTAATGGGAGTGAGGTTTCCACACTCTACTGAAAGTGTAAAGCGTTGACACCAGCAGACCTTGAAAAGTTTCATTTGCGTATCGAAATAGCCATCTCAATCCTCAGGAAAACTATACAAAGAAATAGAGTAAAAACCACTGTAAAAAAATAATAAAAAATGCTAAAATTACCCACAAGTAAGCAAGAAAGAATAAGAGAAAAAATAACCAAATGAAACAACCTGAGACAAAGTAAAACAAAATAAAATAGCAAACTTCAGCCCGGGTTGGATACTAGACTGTAGTGCTGTAGGATGTTAACCATTTGTAGAAACTCTATGAAGAATACACAGAATCTCTCTGTATTATTTCTTATAACTGCATGTGAGTTGACCATTATCTCTAAATAAAATTTAAAATTTTTAAAAAGTTAGTGATATTTGCAACAGCTAATTGCATTCATTTGGAAATTGGGATGAAATAATCTTGAGATTGCTTCAGCCAAACTGACAATCTAAGCCACATGCTATGCTGTACTGTTACACATATGGGTAACTGCTAAAAATGTTGGAAGATAATTTATCTTCCAAAACCTGTGTTATTAAAACATCTACTAAGCAAACAAAAAAATATTGATTTTGGTTCTTTGTCAGTGGTAGGTGCTATTTAGTCAATTTGGACTCATAACGGCGATGTGCACAACAGAACAAAACACTGCCTGGTCCTACACAATCCTCACAATCGTTGTTATGCTTGAGGCCATTGGTGCAGCCACTATTATCAATCCATCTCGTTGAGGGTCTTCCACTTTTCTGTTTGTCCTATAATTTACCAAGCATAATGCCCTTCTCCAGTGACTGTTCCCTCCTGATAACATGTCCAAAGCCAAAGTATGTGAGGTGAAGTCTCGCCATCCTCGCTTCTAAGAGGTATTTTGGCTATACGTCTTCCAACACAGATATATTCATTCTTCTGGCAATCCATGGTATATTCAATATTCTTCTCCAACAGCCTAATCCAAAAGCATGGATTCTACTTTGGTCTTCCTTACTCATTGCCCAGTTTTCACATGCATAGAGGTGATAGAAAACACCATGGATTGAGTCAGGCATCATAGTCCTCAAAGTGACATCTTTATTTTTTAACACTTTAAAAAGAGGTCTGGAGCAGCAGATTTGCCTAATGCAATATGCTCTTTGATGTCTTGACTGCTGCTTCCATTGGCATTGGTTTGTGGCTCCAAGTGAAAACAAGTCCTTAACAACTTCAGTCTTTTCTTCATTTATCATGATGCTGCTTATTGGTCCAATTGTAACGATTTTTGTTTTCTTGATATTGAGGTGTAATCTCTACTGAAGGCTGTAGTCTTTGGTCTTCATCAGTAAATTTTTCAAGCCCTCTTGGCTTTAAGCAAGCAAGATTGTATCATCTGCATATCAAAGGTTGTTAATGAGTCTTCTTCTATTCCTGATCCTGCATTCTTCTACATGTAGTCCAGATTCTCAGAATATTTGTTGACTATACAGATTACATAAGTGTCGTGAAAGAATACAACCCTGATGTATACCTTTGCTGATTTTAACCACACAGCATCACCTTGCTTTGTTCGAATAATTGCCTCTTGGTCTCTGTACAGGTTCTGCATAAGCACAATTAAGTGTTCTGGAATTCCCATTCTTTGCAGTGTTACATGGAATTTTTTATGATCCACACAGTGGAGTGAATGCCTTTGTATGGTCAATAAAACACAGGCAAACATCTTTCTGGTAGTCTGTGTTTTCAGCCATGATCCTTCTGCCATCGGCAATGATATCCCTTGTTCCATGTTCTCTTAGTTATCTAGTGCTGCTATAACAGAAATACCACAAGTGGGTGGTTTTAACAAACGCTAATTCATTTTCTAACAGGTAGGGGGCTAGAATTCCAAATTCAGGATGCCAGCTCTAGGGGAAGACTTTCTGTCCCCATCAGCTCTGTGGGAAGGTCCTTGTCTCTTCAGCTCATTACCTGGTTCCTTGCAGAGCTCCATGTGCATTGGCATCAGTCTTCCTGATCTCTGCTTCTCTGGCTTGCTTGTTTAATCTCTTTTATATCTCAAAAGAGGTTGACATGGAAAACACCCTGGGCTAATTGTGTCTCATTAATACAACAAAGACAACCCATTCCCAAAAGAAAAAAAGTTGCAGTGGCTATATTACCATGTGTCATGGATTGAATTGTGTCCCTCAAAAATATGTGTATCAATTTGACTAGATCATGATTCCCAGTATTGTGTGATTGTCCACCATGTTTTCATTTGATGTGATTTTCCTATGTGTTGTAAATCCTATCTCTGTGATATTGATGCGATGGGATTAACAGCAGTCATATAAATTGGCAGGACTCAATCTGCAAGATTGGATTATGTCTTGAACCAATCTCTTTTGAGATATAAAAAAGAGAAGTCAGCAGTGAGACAGGAGGACCGCATACCTCCAAGAAACAAGAGCCAGAAGAATAGCATGTCTTTTGGACCTGGGGTCCCTGCACTAAGATGTTCCTTGACCAGGGGAAGATTGATGACAAGCAACTTCCTCCAGAGCCGACAGAGAAAGAAAGGTTTGCCTGGAGCCAACACCCTGATTTTGGACTTGTAGCCTACTAGACTGTGAGAGAATAAATTTCTGTTTGTTAAAGGCATCCACTTGTGCTGTTTCTGTTATAGAAGCCCTAGACAACTGAGACACTATGCAACAAAGTAATGTGCAGAACAAGGAATATTACAAGACTTAAAGAGGACTATTATATAATGATAAAGGAGTCAATTGATCAAAAAAGCCAAAATAGTTTTAAATATGTACGCACCTAACGTCAAAGTTTACAATACATAAAGCAAATCTGATAGAGTTGAAGGTGAAAAAGACAAATAGACAATTTTAACTGTTGACTTTAGTACTCTTCTGTATTCAGTAGAACATGTAGACAGAAAATCATTAAGTAAACAGAAGAGTTGAACATCACTATCAACCATCTTAACCTAATGGACATTCATAGAACATGTCACATAATAATGTACATTAGTTTACATGTACATAGGATATTCACCAACATAGACCGTACATTGGGCCATAAAACAAACATCAATGGATTTTAAGGAACTAAAATCATACAAAAGATTTTCTTTTCATACAGTGCAATAAAATTGAAATTAATAATAAAAGAGAATATGTGCAGAATTTAAATAACCTAAGAGGTCAATGAGAATGTCACTAAGAAATTTAAAAAAAATGAATAAAATGAAATGAAAACACAGTGTGTCAATATTTGTGAATTGTAGTTAAAGCAGTGTCAGGAGGTAAGTTTACCACATTAAGTTCTTATTTTATAAAATAGAAAAGGTCTGAAATAAATGATCTAACTTCACCTTCAAGACAATAAGGAGAAAAACTCAAGTAAAGAAGGAAAAATACATAAACATAATAGCATAAAATAATGAAAATGAAAACTACAAAACAGAATAAATAAATGAAAAAAAATCATTTTCTTGGACAGATTAATTGAATTGATGAACCTCCAACCCAGAAAGATGAATACAAAGAAAGAAGCCATAAATTACATAAAGAAATCAAAAGAGGGGACATAACTAAAGATCTTATGACCATGAAGATCGCACAGGACTGGGCAGCCTTTTGCTGTGTTATACATAAGGTCGCCATTAGCTGAAGGTGACTTGAAGGTAACTGACAACAGCAACAACAACTGCAGATATTGGTGAAATAAAAACAAAGAGGAAAATGTTCCGAAAACTGTATGCTAATAACTTTTGCAATCTTGGTAAAAACAAATTATTGAAAGCACCAAAGATTACTCAAAAAATAAATTAATTAATAAAAGATATACTAAGAAGATATCTGGTAATTCCATGTGTTAACAAGAATATAGATGAAATAAAACTCTCAAACAACTTTAGGAGTGGAAAATGGTGCAAACATGTTGAAAATATTCTGCCAAGATTTTATTTTAAAGTTAAACATACACCTCACCTATGATCGAGCAATTTCACTTGAATTCCACAAAATTGAAAACGTATGTACGCATAGCTTTTTGCACAAGGTTTTTCATAGTAGTTTTTTTTTAGAATAGAAAAATTCTGGAGACAATTCAAATGTCCATAAACAGGTGAATCGATCAACAAATTAGGGAAGATATACTCACTTGTGAAGTGAAGCACTGATAGAAGAAAAACTAAGATATGATGTTGGAAATCAGGCATCTGAAAGCGAGTACTTGCGGGATAAAGGAAATATAGTTTTGCTTGGTGTGGTGTGTTCATAGATGCATATCTTTGTCAAAGTCATTGAACTGTACGTGCAAAACTTGGGCCATTGAATGCAAGTGAGTTATGCTTCACTTATAAAATAACACAAAAAGAACAGATGAAATCGCCACCTTGACATACACATCCAGATGTTAATTAACAATTGAATGGATAAACAAATTGTGCCATATCCATACACTTACTACTCATGAATGAAAATAATCAACTCTTGAAAAATGCTACAGCATGGATGAATTTCAAAATTATTATGTTAAATGAAAGGAATAAGAAAAAAATGTGTGATTCCATTTATAAAAAAAATTCTAGAAAATGCCAAATAATCAATGATGATAGAAGGTAGATCAGTGGTTGTCTATAATTGGGGATGGGTGAAGGTCCGAGAAGGGGCTATAAAGGTGATTAATGAAACTTTTGAAGGTAACAGATGTATTCATAATTTATAATTGATGGTTTCACAGGTATATACATATATGAAAACTTAAGAAATTATATGATTTAAATATGTACAGTTTATTTTACGTCAGGTGTACTTCAAGAAATGGTTTTAAAAGGGAGAAAAAGTAAACTTCCTTATTCGGATGGAGTTGTCCTCAAAAAAACCAACAGAATATGTACCCAGTGATGAAATGACTAAAGCTCTTACTGCGACACAGGTCAATGAGACCATGATGCCCAATAGCACACTTTCTCCTCAATTCTGAGCTGAGCAGTCTTTCAAGTAAATACATAAATAAACTAGGTATAAATTGTAACAGAAGGAATAAAACTGACCCAGGTCTGACATGATTAAATTTTGTGGCAGAAAGTGAAAAGGAACTTAAAGGCAAATTACTAGAATTACTAAGTGTGTTTAGAAAGATTGCTGGACACAAGGTCAATGTCCACATATCATTAGCGAAGGATAAACTAGAAACATCAGAAAAGGAAATATAAAAGATAACCGGAGCCAAATCAAACAAACATTTGATTTCAAATTTCAAGACTTCTACACAAAACCACACTGAGAGAAGATAAATGAAGGATAAAATCTGGTTAAGATATTACATTATTAAGATGTCAGTTTTCAACAATTAATCTATTGATTTAACATAACTTAAATAGAGTCACAGCATGTGTTTTGAGAATATTTATATACAAATGTAAAGGGCTAAGTGCAGAAGAAGTGAATAAATCCCGAAGGAGAACACTACTGCTCTGAATAGACAGAATGAAGAGAAAGCTTCAGTGATTTCGCCCATGGGATATTGATGCAAGAAAAAAGAATAGAAAAGTGAAACACAGTGGTGACCAAGAACATATCCACATACCAATGTACATTGATATCCTTGATTTATGACAAAGGTGGCCACAAAGAGGAATAGATAACTGATCGTTTTTACCATAAATTATGCTCATTCAATTAGATAATGATGTTGAAAAGTATAACCTTCTATCAGCATCACAAAAAATGAATTTCAATAGATTATACATCTGGACCAATATATCATAACCGGGCCAGTAAATAACCTCATGATGAATGGAGAAAATATTGAAGTTGTGAAGGATTTCATTTTACTTGGAGCCTTAATCAATGCCCATGGAAGGAGCAGTCAAGAGAAAGATGACACATTACGAACGGCAAATCTGCTGCAAAACATCTCTTTAAAGTGCTAACAAGCAAACAAGTCACTCTGGACTAAGGAGCACTTGACCCAAGTCATAGTGTTTTTAGTAGCCTCATAGGCATGTGAAAGCTGGAAAATGAATAAGGAAGAGAGAAGTAGAAATGATGCATTTAAATTATGGTATTGGCAAAGAATATTGATTATACCATGGACTGCTAGAAAAACGAACAAGTCTTGGAAGAAGTACAGCCAGAATGCTCATGAGTAGCAAGGATGAGCAGACTTTCTTTCCCATATTTTGGACATGTTATCAGGAGGGACCAGTCCCTGGAGAAGGACATCATGCTTGGTAAAACAGACGGTCAGTGAAAAAGAGTAAGACCGTCGAAGGGATGGACTGACCCAGTGTCTGCATCAATGGACTCAAGTATGACAACAATTGTGTGGACAGCACAGGACCGGGCAGTGTCTCGTTCTGTTGTACATGGGGTTGCTATGAGTCGGAACTGACTCCATGACACCTAACAATACATCTAAATGTAATAGGTAAACATTTTCAGAAAAAAATTTTTAAGAAAAGATAAAATATAAAATTGACAAATTAATTTAGTAGATTATCTATGGTGAAATTTGATTAATTACTAAAATAGCTCCAAAATAAGCACTAATAATATAAATGAGAAATTAGACTATGCTAATATTAATCAATTCTATTCATTAAAAGACTCCAATGTGGGAGTAAATACGAAAGCCACAAAGAAAAGTAAAACTCTTGTAAAGTTATCAAATCAAAAAGAGATCATATTCAAAATAGGTGAAGAATTTATTGGTGGGAAAAGACTGACAATCTCAGAGGAAAAACAAACAAGAGACATGAATAGGCACTTGATAAAAGAAGATGTTCTAGTGGCCAATAGCACGTGAAAATGTGTTCCATCTAACAATAATTAGGAAAATGTCTATTAATGTAATAATGATACTATCATAGAAGAATCAAAACTTCTACTTTTAAAATTTCTCATACTACTAAGTTTTGATGAGGACGTGGATCAAGGGACAGGTTCAAACACTGTTCAATAATATGTGTATGTGTGCTATGAACTAGTAAACTGTTGGGATAATTTAACAATATTGACATGTACATACACCTATAACCCTACATGATCCTACAATTTCATTCCTGTGCATCTAGGTAATATATCGACAAAAGACATACAGAAAGATATTTAGAGAATAATTACACATAATAGCTAAATAGTAGCTAAGTAAGCAAGGATGGCGAGACTTTGGCTTGCTTACTCCAGAGACGTCATCAGGAAAGACCAATCACTAGAAAAGGACATCTCGTTTGGTAAAGCAGAGGGCCAGTGAAAATGAGAGAAACGTTCAGTGAGATGAATGGACAACAATGGACTCAGAGACACCAATGACCATTAAGATGGCACAGGACCAGACAACGTTTTCCTCGTTCATAAGGTCTCCATGGGTCGGAGGCAATTCAAGGGCAACTAACAACAACATGGACAAAAATATGGGTGAATCCTAAAAACACAACATCAACTGAAATATGTAAGACACTAAACACTTCATGTAGTATAATTCTCTTTATAGAAGCTTGCAAAGTAGGCAAATCTTTATTGTTTAAGATGCATAGGAAACATGGCATATCAGTAATATTTCTTGATAAATACCTGCTATTCACTCAAATACATTTTATATACATTTCTTTTAGTATGTTATACCTTGCAATAAAATACTTCAAATATTTGAAATCTTACCATTTCTTCTTCATTATCCATATAAAACAGATGAGATTTCTTAGAAACACAGGCCATCCGACTCTCAGTCCAGTTTTTTATATCACTGCTAATATAATAGCAATGGTTGGAATAGGAGAACCAGTCCTCTGGACAACGGTGACAATGATTAGCTGAAAAAAGAATATGATCACAATCCAGAAACAATGTGAATTAAAAAATATAAATTAGTTGACACATTTGCATAGGCATAAGTATGTATCTACATAACCTATATGTGCAATCTCATGCACTCACACATACATATAAAAAACACATCCACACAGAAAAGGTCAGCCTCCCATCCCCTAACTTATGTACAATTAAAAAGCAAAAAACAAAAGCTCTATCCTATACATGTCCTGAAAATCACTGGACAACACCATTTTATTAGAATAACAAAGTTATTTCTTATCTTATCATGCTGTTGTTATTGTTGTTAGGTGCTGTCGAGTCAATTTTCAACTCATAACAACCCACTATGACACAGTAGAACTTCCTCATAGAATTTTGTAGGCAGAGCCCTGGTTGTGCAGTAGTTAAGAGCTTGGCTGCTAAGCAAATGGTCGGCAGTTCAAATCCACCAATCACTCCTTGGAAACCCTACAGCGCAGTTCTACTCTGTCTTATAGGGTCACTGTGAGTTGGAATCCACTCAACAAGAACGAGTTTTGTTCGTATGGTTTTGTTTAATCTTTACAGGAGCAGTAGGAACTTTGAGGCAGTTGTCAAAAGAAGGCTATAGTGATTGTAAAAGCATATTTCCTCTAACTTTTCAACAAGAAGGAGTTCCTCATATGATCTTTATTTATGAAAATTTATTGCTTTATTTTTGAAGGTTTTAAAAAATCTGTTATTATTTCTTTGTAACATAAAATAGAGAAAAAATACAATCTTAATATATTAGCCCTGGTGGTGCAGTGCTTAAGAGTTTGTCTGCTAACCAAATTGTCGGCAGGTGAAATCCACCAGTTACTCCTTGGAAACTCTATGGGGGCAGGTCTAAACTGTTCTATAGGGTCTCTAGGAGTTGGAATTGACTCGCTGGCAATGAGTTTGGTTTTGGTTTATATGAGAACTTTTAAAATTATGACATACCTTTCTGAGTTCTGTTCTCGTCCATGATTTCATTAGCTAGAAGGATTGTAGTGATTGTTATAGAGATTAATATTTCTTTAATAAATCATAATAATTTTAGTTTCCTAGTTTCAAATTTAGTATAACATTTAAAATTGTAATAATGTATATTAAAAATGATTTAACCAACAAAAAATAGTAATAAAGGCTTTGCAAAAACATATGAACAGTCTAATGGAGAAATTTTTATCACCTCTTACAGTATTTGAATTACCTACATTCCAAGATTAATTTTATTCGCAGTAGGTGTTCTCAGTCTCTCATTGAAAATCTTTGAGATGTGACAAACACACACATGTATACACACACACACATACAATACAGACATTTAGAATTATAAACATATAAAATCTGCGATCTGTCTGTGTATTTATACTTTTGAAAATCTCAGAATAACTCTTCCACATTTAATGCACATTGAGGCGGCATTCTTTATTTACTAAGACTAAAAAACCCGGTAAACATATCACACAAATGCATACATTAAAATGAGCATTCTATTCCATAAAATGTGAAATATACAGAGGCACTTTCACACCTTTAAAAGGAATATTCCTTGATAATCTTTCAAAAACTTACAGTTATTACTTGTGACTCTCACGGTTATTACACCGACCGTCAAGACAAGGCAGATGAGTCCCAGGGTCCCAGCAATGAGCTTCCCTGGAGGTGATGGGTGATGTGCAGAGAGAGAAATGGAAACACTGAGAAAGGATGGATGGAGCCAGTGTTCAGAGTGTTTACATACAGGAGAACCCAGGTGCACAGGGAATCATGTACAGAAATACTGGACATTGAACCCACAGTCCACATTGTAATTTTTCTCTCAGAATATACTATTGCATTTTCAGTAAAATAATAGCCCATGAGTTGTTCTTCAAAGCCCACAAATTTCAACAATGTCTGAACAGAATTAACCTTCTAATTTCCTAGGAGAACACAATATCCGTACTTCAGGTCTGATCCTCAAAACTGAAAAGCAGTGAGCCTACTCCCTTAATCTGACTACCCTTGCTCCGTGTCTTCATTTTCACTCTTTCCCCACATTTCTGCACCAGAACTGCACATTCTAGTGCAGTTATAATGAGAACTGATCAGATGATTTACCTTTGCAGTGGAAAGTCTTGTCATTCTTTTGACGATCTTGAGAAGCACTGTGAAGGTTTAATCCCACATAAGTATTTTCCCGCTCAGTGACTGAAAAGGAGCTATCAGTGTCCTTAGGTTTGATTTGCTGCCTTTTTGGGTTCTTGGCCAGATTCAGTTCTGAGTAAGTTACTGTTTGATTATTCATCTCTGCAGCTGAGGGGTGTCAAGCTCTGTGCTCTATGAGAAACTGGGCTTGAGAAGGAAATACGTGCTGTGTACATGACAAGATCAAACTAGGTGGGGAGGAGGGTAAGTGTCAGTGCTCACTTTGCAGCTGAGAATCTAAAGTTCTGGTTCTAACTGACTTAGAGCCTTACACAAATGTCTCAGGGAAGAATAAGTAATTTTTAAAGATATTCCGCCTTCTATAATATATTTTTGGTTGGAGTAATAGAAAGCAATAAATTATTGAAGAAAAAAGTTCATAAATAAGAATATCTTGCATATTAAAAGTCATATTCCACAGAAGTATTTTAAACTATTATAATTTGTCAGTTAAAAATTAAAATGCTGTATTGGTAAAATAAAAAAAAAGGAAGCATTGATTGATGACAATATTGTAATACAATAATGTTGAACAACTGAGTGCTCTAAAGAAGTGGGAATTGGCAGGTTAGCACATATCAAAATTTACTACACTGAAATACCTTAATTTAGTGACTTATGTTTATTTATTAAGAGTTGAAGTTCTATTGTATGATCTTTTTCTTATTAATGAATAGGTGCAGAGTTCTGAGAAATCATTACATTTTTAAGAAAATATGTATCAGAATAATTGCACTACACAATAAACAACAATTTAAAGACTATTGGAAACATGATTTTAAACAATTTAAAGAATGCATTTCTTATATAAAAATTATTGGCAATCGATTTTATTGCTAAAACAGGAGACCACAAATTGATAAATAGAAGTGTATCCCATTTATGGAAGAACACTGTCGGTTCCAGCTTCCAGAAAGATCATATGGTTGTCACAGTCCGTGTGGGTTCCTTTAGTTGTGTAAGTAACTGGTGTAATTCAGTAATGTAGTTTAATAATTTTCTCATTGGACTCTGGGGTCAGAGAGGTCAAAGAATTGAATTCTGGTTTTGAAACTTACAATGCTTAGACCATTAAAAAGGTGCTTAAAAACTAGTAATCTAATAGTCTAATCTAAAATGGGAATAATAATATATAAAATGGAATGCATGTAAGTACATAACTCTCAACTTGGCAATTACAAGCTCTGAATAGATAATAACAGTTTTAATTAATATTTTCATTACAGTATTTTGTTGGTGCTTCTGATTCGCGTTGGGTAGGAATTGCAAATTAACTCATTAGACAGCGTTCTCTTATATTAGTGTGTTTTTTCCCGGTGGTTTGCTAAATTAATTTAAGTTTTTTGATATTTATTATTAATTTTAGATTAGCACTTTATGGAAGCTACCTCATCCACCTTTTTGAAAAAAGTAAAACCACATGTCCATAATCTTAGTAAGTGAATGACAATTATGTCTGGCCTTGCATCATTCAATCATTTTTTTTCAGAATCTAGCAATAAAAACTGGGCTAAAAGTAGCATATTACATTATGATACAAAGACACTTGTTGAACTACATATAAAATCCAAAATTAATTGCTCATTGTCATGGTGCTTAAGGGATTTTACTTTGAAGTACGTTGATTAACAAGCTCAAATGTGTGTGTGTGTGCATTTGACTAATTCTCCACACGTAATAATTTCAATAAATTAAGAAATCCTCCAACATATTTCATATTCAGGGCTCACTGTTCAGCCCGACTCCAATGTTCTCAGTGATTGTATTGTACATTAACAGTCCCTCAGGGCATCATGCACAGCATTTATAACCTCCCACTAAATGAGGTGGGCTAGAACACAGAGGATAGCAGTGGCCCATACCTTCTCTCAGTTGGAAAGTCGTGCTTCCATTAGTGGGGAGGCCTTGTTAATGTCCCAGAAGGGCCAACTACAGCAGGATAGTAGAAGGCGAAATCTAAAGACATAAATCCTGCAAAAGCACAAAGAATATCTGTGCCCTTCATAGACTGTCCTGTGAGGGCTCAGAGTGAGGTAAGAGATGAAAAGGTAGAAGGCTCTTCAATGTGTTATTTCATGTTTGACCAGGAAATCCCCACTTGGGCTATTTTGAAGTCAGTTTATCTCATCACACACCTCCAGAACATAGGAGATGTTGAGCTCCTATTGAAAGGACAAAGTAGATCTTTAAATATGTCATGTAGATTATCCCTTTTAAAGTGTTTTTGTAAATCCTCCTCATATTCTATAGGATTTTGCATTCAGAAGATTTCATCACGCATGCAGTTAGCTTGTTTCCATTGAACCACAAACTATTAAAACTATTGCCATGTTAACACTAGCTTAGATGTCTAAGTCCTACTTTTAGAATAAATTGCAAAACTGTGGCATTGCGTTCTACTTTTCTACATATTACGTCCAGAGGCTCCTCAGAAGACAGGCGGGGCAATCTGCTCAGAGAAGTTGCAGCCTTGAAAACCCTATGGAGCAGCTCTGCTCTGAACACATGAGGTCACCAGGAGTCAGAATGGACTTGATGGCAAATAACAACAACAATATTTTCATAGGCTAAATTAATAATCTCATATGTATACATCTGTCTATGCATGTATTTATATGCATTAGAAATGAATTTATTTGTATTTATTATACGTTGTCTTTTTCAAAAACTAAATAATCTTCTCTTTCCCCTCTATTATGCACATTATATTATTAAACAGAAGAAACTATTCCCCAACAACACCAAACAATGTAGAGCTCACTACTCTTCTCTTTTTAAATTGAAGTCATTATGTTTACTCTTCCTCAGACATTCACTTCTGCTGTCTTCAGTTAAATAATGTTATCTATCTTGTCCTTTGATTCTTTTGACATTTACACTTACAAAAACTATGCTCAGAAACTATAATGTCATGATAAAAATTCCCCAAAATTATGGAATAATTAGGATTTATTTTGTGTGATGTAAATGTGTGTATATCTTTACCTATCTGTGACCACTTACAATAATGGCAGAACCTAGTGTCCAAAGAGGTGTCCTGGGTATCACAAACAGGTAAGCCCTCAGTTACTAGACAAAACCACCCAGAGTTGCCTAGGATGACAGTCCAGGCAATCTGCTTCTGAAAGGTTGTAGCACTGAAAACCCTTAGAGCACACAAGAGGTCGCCTTCAGTTGGAATCAACTCAAAGGTCACTAATAACAACAAGTGTCCAATGGGAGATGGCTAAATTAGAGTTCAGTTCCAAGTAAAAATGTCTTTCTAATATAATCATAAAATAAAGTCATTTTCAAGGATTATTTTAAAACAAGGTAACTAATTACAACTAACTTTCATTCAAGGAAATAACAAAGCATCTTCTTCAGCATAAGAAACACTTATGACGTATGAAGCTTTTGATATATAGAAAGAAGAGTTGAAGAAAAAAATTAGTGGATAGACCTAAATGAGTATGGTTATATATTGAATAGATATTATCCATGATAAAACATCAGTAATATACATTCCAATTTGAAAATGCATGTTTATATTAGAATACAGGAGCCCTGGTGGCTGTCATTAAGAGCTCGACTGCTAACCAAAAGTTCGGCAGCTCCAATCCACCAGCTGCCCTGTGGAAACCCTATGGGGCAGTTCTACTCTGTCCTGTATGCTCTCTATGAGTCAGAATCCATTCATTGACAATAGGTACTGGTATGAGAATACAAATGAGCAAATGTAGCAACAAGGACGAAATAATGGTGGAAAGTAATAAGGTCTTTTCGTTGCTCAAGAAGTTTTAAAAATAATAATTTGTTAGAATTTAATGAGTAAAGCGCGAGTGTTGTAAAATGTAGAGCACCATTACAAGAATAGTTAACGGCACATTGAATTAAAGAGCTTTATAGAGGAAAATGAAACAATAAAAATATTTATAATAAAAATATTATAAAACAAAGAAAAAGTAATGTATATTTAGAGCTACAAATGAAAGAAAATAGTAAATGGTAGAGTTCAATCTAAATTAAATAACTATGTTAAATATAAATAAAATTTCAATTCAAATACTAATGTTAAAGTCAGATTGAAAGTCCATTCAAACATTAATTTTAAAGTCCACATAGAACTTTTCCCAAAATATGTTGATATTTTAAGGAATGTAAATATCAAATGTACAGAACAGTGTTGCTAAAGCAGTAGTCTCTAGCCAAGTCAACAGGTGGGCCCTTGAAATTCATTGAATTAAACTTAATACTAAGTGTTTGAGCTAATTAAATATAATCAGCAGCTAATTTAATGAGAAAGACCTGGAATATATGCATAAGGCAAGAGGAAAGTAAACAGATTAAAACAAGAAACACCGTGCAACACACCCAGTAGAAAAATGCTGCAGTTAAAGGACCGTCACATGAGAAGGCAAGAGGCGTTATTTGAAATAAAAGACACGTTTCACACTGATAAACTCTCCAAACCATTAATAACATGATTTTTAAAATTTGTGTCTACCTGATAACACAGGCTGATCATAGAAATTAATTAAACACTCTCACTACTTATCAAAAAAGCAGATACATCAGTAAGGCTACAGAAGGATTTAAACCAGACAGTTAACAACACTGACGCACACATCAACACAACACATGCGAGTACAGAGTTCACATGCTTTTAAAGTCCACACAGAACTTTTCCCAAAATACACTATCTATTCGCATTTCGAAGCATATACATATAAAAATGTACAGAACTGTGTTGTTGATGCAGTAGTCCTTAGCCAGTTTAACAGGTGGGCACTTGAAGTGTGACGCTCAAATTTAAATTTAAATTAACTCACAGCAAATCACATTTGAAATTCAGTTCCTCTTTCACAAAACTACATTTTAACCACAAATTTAGAACATTTTAGCATTGCAGCAAATTCTCTAAGTATAGTGTACTAAGAATGGAAATCAACTAGTTATGAAAATTCTTATATGATTTTTCATTCAACAATATATTTATAAATTACATATGGGGGAAAAGAGTGATTACAGTGCATATTCATAATTTTATCTGAAGTATATTAAAAATTAACATATCAAAATTGTCTTATAATATTGAGTGCCTTGAATACATCCATTAGATAAAAAGAAAGCATAAAATCAATTATCTTAGTATGTATCCAAAAAGTTAGAAATTGAAAAGCAAATTGTATCCAAATGCAATAGAAGGAAGAAAACAATAAAAAGTGGAAATAAATGACAAAGTACACAAATTACAAAAAAGAGGCTCGACAAGGCAAGTTTTTTCCAGTGAAAGAC